TTTTATTTTCCTTCTTAATATATATATATATATATATATATATATATATATAAATCGTGACAACCTATCCAAAATCCTGCTTTTCGTCTTAGACTTCGTTTAGTAATTATGGTTCTTAGGTTTTGTAGGTAAAGCATGGATCGACACTCTAAGTACTACAACGCACTGCTGTGCACTTGCAGATAACTAGGGTTATAAATTTAAAACATGAACCCGAAAAGTAAACCCTAGCAGCATCAATCTGCTGATCAAGTTCAGAGGCAGGAAGAGATTAAACAGAGGATTGATCTTGTGTTTGTTCCAGCTTTCAGAGGTCAGTATTCGTTTGTGACTAAGGAAGTGGCCTTCATCTACTTATGTCTGTGGCTTAAAGAGAAAGGTAACTGAGCTTTCTCTAGAGGATCAGACCTCAAGTTCTAAGAAAAAACTGACAGGCATTTACCAAGCAACAGAGATGATGGAAACCCCTAAACCCCCACTCCCAGAATGATGATTTTGCATTGGAATTGTTAGCGGATGAGGAACCCTCTGACAATTTGATACGTGCAGGATATCAATAAATTTTATACTCCTGATATCATGTCCCTTATAGAAACTAAGAATATCTATAATTATATTCATAATATCACAGACGGCTTGTGATAGGTTATTGGTCCCAATTGCTTTCATGAAGGAGAAAGGAAGAACTAAAGGAAGAAGGGCCATGAAATGGGAGCAGAAGAAGATGACTGAAGAAAGTGTCTAAAGAGTCAAAGAAGAGATGAAGTGTTGAAGAACCTCTGCTTGAGAAAGAGTGTTCAGTTGTATTCTAAATAATCTTAATATGTTGTCGTTTCAAGTTAAGAGAGTTGTATTTAATGCGACCCAAAAACATTAGGGTTTCCTTATCTTATGAACAGTAACATCAAATATCAAATATTTCTCTTCTCATCTCTTTCCCTTTTCTTTTCTCATCTCCCTCTAAATCTCACCGAGATTCCACTCCTATCATTTGGTGCTTTCATTGAGAGACAGCTATGCCGCCGAAGGCTGTGCTGCAGAAAGAAGCTGCGTAGCTAAACCGGGATCTGGCTCGTCGGAACTCGAGGAAGAGAGGCCTTATGCTTCTCTAGATATGAGGGTCGAAAAGTTAGAAAAGGACATGACTTGGGTTAAAAAGGCCTTGAACACACTCCTTCGACATCAAGTGTACGGTGACGGTCACGAATCGACACAGCCATGATTTTCCAGCCCCAGTCCAGGATTACAACTCTAAACACCCAGCACGACGTTTATCGCAGCAGAACAGAGCCGTTGCGAAGGGTTGCTCACCGCTCCCACCGTGACGAGACCCGAGGGTAACGCAACACAGACGCAGGATCCAAAGGAAGATCCACCACCAACCACCAGGGAGTCATCGCAGAAAGTTGTCGACATACCATTGTATGAAGGCAAGAATCCAGATGACTGGCTCTTCCAAGTGGAGAAATGTTTCCTCCGAAACAAGATGCCGGAGCACGAGAAGCTCGATCTAGCGCTGGGCTGCCTTACGAGACGTGGTGGCGAGGAACGCACAAGAGAGAGCATATCGTAGGATGGAAAGACATTCAGGACAAGTTCAAACGCCGATTCTGACTTAGCCTAGGGAGTTTGGTGATAGACCATCTGTTGAGCATCACCTAGAAGGGAACAGTAGACGAGTACCGCAAGCAATTTGAGGAGATAGCGGTCGAGTTGCCTCATGTGCCTGAGGATGTACTAGAGTCGGCTTTCCTGTGAGGTCTTAAGAAGAGCATCTGAGACCAGGTGATTCGTTTCCAGCCAGTTAACATGGACAACATCGTGGAGGTAGCGAGGATGATTGAAGCGCATGAAAACGAAAGTGCCAGCTATCAGGTCCGGTCATTTCAACTGAAGAACCGTTCTTTGACTTACTCGATAGCAAACCGCAACACCAACCAAGGGTATTTAAGGAGTGGAGATGCCACAGCGATCAAAAAGCCGTTTGAAACGGGCCGAGAGGTGAAACGAGCTACTATTGGAGATGAATGATGGTTTAATATATAAATGAGCAAAGTGTACAAAAGTTTCTGTATTTTTAAGTTGTTAGATTTTTTATGTCTTTTATTGTTTCAAAATAGATCTGCTATATTATTGATAAAAAAAATTGATATTATTAGTGTTATCATTTACGTATAAAAAAGAGAAAATTGCTGAATGGGTAATTTTTAAGTTTTAAATTAGAGGAATAGGATGTTTTCAAAACCAAGGAAGGATAGGGCTGTTTTTACTGTTTGTTTTCCCACAAGGGCCCTAAGGCAATTTTTTATTTTCAAAATTGCCATTATCGAAGTAAAATAACTAAAAATTTCTGATTAAATCCGATATGGTAAACCGATTACACAAAATTATAAACCGAAGTCCAATATCATAAACCAAAGTAAAACCAAATGTATAATTTATCGACACCCCAACATTTAAATTAAATATTAAATTTAGGATCCACATCTGGACGTAGTCCATCTAGCATCTCCGGCAATCCATCTCCGATTAGCCATCCGATTGACCGTTGTAATGGCGCGGAAAGTAAAAAAATCGTTAAGGCGCAACAACACTGTGCCTCCGGTGTCGAGGCGAGTGCTCCGAAGTAACTCGAAGACAGCTCCGACGGAGCACTCACCCATACCGCCCATGCCACCGCGACGGAGTGACCGGGTTGAACATCCCATTCACGCGAGTCGTCTCAATCCACGCCGGCGGTGTAGATCCAAAGTACAATTCGCTCCTCTTCTTCTAGAATGGCCTGCTCAGAATTCTAAAAGTAAGTTATATTTATGAACTTCGACCTTGTCTGAACTGTACAGCGGTTTGTAACTCAAATTAAGATTGAAACGGGGCGCCTGATTGGCCTGATATATGTATTAGCGGTTATGAACTCTAGTACTTATGTCTATATATTGAATTCAAACGGTTGGATTACTCTTATATCATCTAGAAACAGTTACAGAAGTTTATATAGGAGAGCATACGAATAGTGTAGTTTTTTCAGATCTCTGCTCTCTCTTTCGAACTCCTTTCCCTCAAACTTTTCCCCTGGTTTGCATTTAACTGTTTATCCAGAATATTATATCTTTCCTGCATTTCGGAATTGTTGTTTTGGTTCAAATACAGGAATGGAAGACGGAGAACCTTCAAATACAGGCATGGAAAATGGAGAAGCTTCAAATAACCTTTTGGAAAAACTACCAAAAAGGGTCCTCGGCGATGGTTGCTATCCCGTTGGTGCTCGGTTGAACATATATTCAAAGGCCAATGTCATTGGCCTCCTTGTCGAGGCATTAAAGGGTACTGAAGATCTTGAGAAGCTACTTCATTCCCAGTTTGGGAAGTTATTCCATCTACCTGTTGCAAGATGTTGCAACAGTGCCAAACTAGTCCATACCCTTCTATCACGACAACTTGTGACCATGAAGAAACACGAGATTTGGTTACTCTTTGGTGGACAGCCTCTGAGATATTCGATACGGGAGTTTAAGGAAATCACTGGATTGAATTTCAATCCCGAACCTGATAGCACAGAAGAAGAAGAAGATGTCGGAAAGACTGGAATCTGGAAAGACCTGTTCGGAAGAGCGACCGCTATGAACGTGTTTGATGTGCTTGAAATGCTAAAGGACCCGGATCTACCCCGATGGAAACGGCTTCCATTGGCCCTAATCGTTCTTGTCGACGGTGTTCTGTTTTGCAATAGCAAAAATCTGGCCCTCACCGAGAAATACGTTGAGATGTTGACTGACTTGGATAAGTTCATGCTGTATCCATGGGGGAGGGTATCCTTTAACAAAACAGTATCTCGTTTTCAAGCTCCGAAGGCAATCACGGATGCCGAGAAAAGGGAGAATCCTTTAACACGATTGCGTGCTATGGATTCCCTCTATCACTACAACTCATGGCCCTCCAATCTATACCAATGTTGGTTTCCAAAATTCCTCAACCTGATAACTTGAAGACTTTCGTTGAAGATCCCGAAGGTGTCAAAACGTTATCACACTATTGCATCTTGGGGACATACTTGCCGTGGAATCCGACCCTCTGGTAAATTATTTGTAGTATTATATTTAGTACTATTTGTAGTCTTATTTTGTAGTACTTGTCTTAAAAGATAAATACTCTGTCATTTTGGTTGGTAATTTTGCAATTGTTTTTTTTTTGTCTTAGTTGTCTGTGAAACAGATGGTAGTGGATGATGGTGACAATGACCAACAGAATGAATTGCGGGTGGGAGATGAGGTAGAGGATGCCGAAGTTACATTCATGCAGGAACTCATGGCCGAGGGGTACAAATTCACACCTTCGGATTTTGTAGTGGCACTGGCACCTATCGTGGATCTTAGTGATGCAGAGGACGAGGTTACCTATGAACAGGAACCTGAGCCATCCACCCGACCGAAGAAGAAACTGAAAACTCATCAAACAGAAAAACGTAAGATGCAGAGGAAGAGAGGCAGGGGCAAGAACTCTTCTAATCTATCGGAAGATGAAACCCCTGAAAGTGGACAGATTTAAGATCTTAAAAGATGGATAGTAAGTCAGAATAATTTGCTCCTTCGTAAGATTAAGACAGAGTTGGACAAGAGATTGGGCGTATACCAACAGGACGAAGAAGATGACGATGTACACCAGTCAAAAGAAGATGGGGAACAGGATGACGAAGGACAGAATCCAAAAAAATGTGGTCAAAAACCGGATGAAGATGAAGACGAAGCCGAAGATGGAGGTGAAGAAGGAGGTTATGATGGTGCACAGTCTAGCGTACGCCATGATGATGGTGTACACCCCAAAGATGGTGTACACCAGAAAGAAAGAAATGATGAAGAAGGGATCTCTACTTACTACGGCGGGGACCATTATTCTCCCAGGGACCATGCGTACTTGAAGACTCCAGAAGCTCCGAAGAAGACCCCTGAACCTGAACAAGCCAATTCAGGAACAACTCGTCCACCTCCTTACTTCATATCCGGATGAAGATCCACCTTCTGGCCTCAACGAGGTGAGCTAATTGTTTAGTCAGCAGCTGACTCTATTAAGTTTCATAACGTGTGTGTACTGTGCTATGTTTTTTATGACTTATTCAGGTGGATGGTGGTAGAAAAAATTTGGTGTCAGACACCTTAGTACTCTACAAACCTCAGACTCCTCACCCATTGAGCTATGCATATAAGAAAAATGAAGCGCAGACAGATGCACAGGATGCACAGGTCAGACATTAAACTTGTTCATATGATATGCATGTGTATACAGTACTCTTTAGGTATACGCTAGGTATACGATTGATATCTTATACGCCTTATTGTTACGGTGGTTTGTAGGCTGTGGCTAATGAGGAGGACTCAAATGCGGGGAAAGATTACTATACTGCGCCGGAGGATGCAAGTGATGCTTCGCAGAAGACCCCTTGTACTCCAAAACCTCCACAAGAAGTTGAGGGATCGTCTGGTGTAAAGAGAAAAAGTAGAGGAACAGGAAGAGGAGGAAGAGGTAGAGGAACAGGAAGAGGAGGAAGAGGTAGAGGAACAGGAAGAGGAGGAAGAGGTAGAGGAAAACGCGCACGCGTACGACAAGATTTGAGATATTTACACCGCAGATTCAAAGGTGAAAACTCTATTTGTATCCAGATCGAAAGCTGCGTACAAACCACTCGAAACAGTGGAACAAGACCACTTCAAGGCATTCCAGGAGTTATTATCGCGTGAAAGAAACATGTAAGTTATATCGTATTCAAAGTAATTTATCCTTAAACTTTCATTGTTATCAATTACCAATTGCTCTCATTACAGCAACTTTTGCATTGTCACTGGTCATACTGTGAAGAATCAATTCTTCCTACAAATTGCGAAGCCTACTGAGTGGGTTAACACGATGGTAAGTATATAGTTAGTACTTACTGAATCTTTAATTATCTGTAATATATGTTATTTATGTTTTGTTATTCGTCAGCACATGCAAGTCATAATGGCCATGCTTTGGAGACGTAGAGGTGAAATATACTTGAAAGACAGGGTAGCATTTGTAGACACCTTGTTCATATCCATTATCGGCAACTACTACAACGATTTCATATCTGGAGACAAAAATCAGTATGACTGGGGGAAAACCATTCAGGGCATTGTATTGGGAAAGCCTGCAAAGTGGGCTAATCAGAGTCGGAGGCAAATGTTTCTACGGTTTGTGGACGTTGTATACGTCTCGATGAACTGGGGGTCTGAGCATTGGGTGGGCCTTGTAATTGACTTTAAAATGGGCAACATAAAGATTTTGGACTCATTCATCAGTCATAATGATGAAGCGGCTGTGGAGCAGTATATGGCGCTCGTGTGTCAAAGTATGCCATTTATATTGAAGTGTTATTTGGATAGCAAATTAACGAAAGGCCTACGCACCACCCCTTACACATGGAGTCGTTTGGAGGGCATATATCAGAACAAAAGATCCGGTGACTGTGGCCCATGTGCGGCCAAATTCTTAGAGATGCATGCTGCAGGGCTTGGAGTGGAGGATATGGGTTTGATAACGGACGATGACGTTGACAGGTTAAGGGAGAAATACGCCATGGACTCATACGAAGAGTTTGTTGGGAATCCGGCTGTTGCCAACGCTTAGGACGAATGATGAAGTTTAATGTTGAACTTGACAATTTATGAAAGGTGTATTTGTTGGATTATGTGTTTGATAATGTTTAGGGTGTGGGTTTATTTGATAATTTATATGCTTATAATTTAGTTTACTTTACTATCTATTAATTGGTGTGGCAATTCGTAGTTCCGGGAATAATTTCATATCTGTACACCAATATGCGTTTAGTTGTACATCAAATGCATCAAATGGGTGTACATCAAGAAAAATTTGTTTATACTTTACTTTATTTTAGTATTTATTAATTGGTGTGTGAATACTTTGTTCCCGGCTTAATATGTATCTGTACACCAATATCCATTTAGGTGTACATCAAAGGGGTGTACAACAAACAAAATTTTGGTTTACTCACTAATTTTACAAACTCATTTACAATCTTAACGGTAACCGCATTTAATGTATACGCTCAGTTAGTGGGATTTTTTAATTATTATATATATGCAACATAAACAACTGTTATCCTCACAAATCCTAAACCGCAGTTATTCCATCTCCATAAACAACCGTTTTCTTCACAAATCAACCTCACAAATTAACTATGGCACCAAAGAGAGGGCGATGTGAAGCAGATATCCGTGATTGTCAATCCCCTCTGATGGCGCTTCCCGACGAACTATTGGAGAAGGTTTTCGCATACAGTTGCAACTCTGTCCAACAAATTTTCACACTAAAGCAAGTTTGCAAACGGTTCCAGGCCTGCACTTTAACCAAAAATTTTCTAGCATCGGTTGATCCCGTGGAATTGGAGATGCCTATTCCTGAAGATTTCGATATGCCTTTTATCGCAAGTTGGGAATTTCCCAACTTGTTGAGGAGGATGTATGACGCATGCAATCCGGGTTTTCTGTTCATGAAGGGGATGCAAGATTACTTCTGCCGTGGAGACAAATGTGGCATAAAACTCATCAAGGAATCTGCAGATATGGGATACGAAACAGGTATTTACATGTATGGCATGTACATGAAAGCAGTGGTCGAAGACCCCGTGGGTTTAGAGTATCTTTCAAAACTAGGCAGCGGGGCAATGAGGAGAATAATTTGGAAAATTATTGATGGAGGTGAGCGTGGTTATGTCAATAATTTGCCTGAAGAATTCTCAAAGAGGAGATTTGAAACTAATGCTCAGTTTGCCACACTTTGGTCTTGTCCCTGTGGTGTTGCCAATGCTCAACTTGATTGGCATGACGAATTGTTAAAGGGGCCAAGCATGTGCATGTCGTGTTTCTGGGCACAGGAAACACAAAATTTCTTCGTATTTGTTTGGTATGCAGTACGGTATGGGCCGTCAATGGAAAAATGGTGACTAATTGGTGAAAGTCAACCAGTTTCGGTGTGTACACCTCGGTGTGTACACCTTCGTTGTGTACACCTCGGCGTTGCTGTTATTTCAGAATTCATCGAATTGATTAGCATCCGCGAATATGTTTTTTTAGTTTATGTAATCGATTAGATTCCATATTTCGTACTTTATGATTTAATCTTTTATTTAGGATCTGTACACGTACTTATTTACGCCTACTATGTATGTAGGTGTACTTTGTTTTGGTTTCTATCTATGTATACTTTAATTGTGTTGACTTTAATTAATTTCGGTGGGTGTGGTTGTGGCAGTTTTTCGAGAAGCATTATCTCTTATATCTTTAAAGTCTCAGTTTACCTCTTTCTGTACGCCTAATAACTAGAAAAAAAAAAACACCTCAATCTGGACTCAATATGTACATCTAAATTTGTACACCTGAATGTTACAGACATTTATCACATATTATATATTTTGAGTATACAAACGACATTATCTCTTTTGTGGGAATTTTCGGAGAAGATGGATATACAAACGACATTATCTATTTAAAGTCTCACCTTACCTATTTCTGTACGCATATTTTAAAAATAATCATGATTTCGTCTATGTGGACTCAATCTGTACTATATATCTCGGTTAACGTGATGTTGAGAAAACTTCTGTAATGATGACAAGAAATATAGTTTCCAAAATATAAAAAAGGTCTGGGTTGTTATTGAAATTTTGATAAGATCATAAATAATAATAGTATTGTCGCAGAAATCATAAATGTATTGTGGTATATCATAAATTAAATTAAATCATTCATCATAAAAGCTTAATGGTGAAATTTGCTTTGATTTTGTTATTCTCTGTATTTATTGTGGTAATTTAATTTTGCCGGTAAACGAAAAGACACATTTTCGTCTCTTTTCAACGTCTCTCTTCAAAAATAGCTATTCAGCTCTATTAAAACCGCACTACCTCTTTAAATTCAATCCCTTCACCGTAACAGCCTACTTAGAACCATCATAACTTCCTCTTTCATTCCATTTTCAATCCTTTCTCCTCTTCCTCAATCCATTTTCTTATCTTTTCTCTTTTCATCGAAATAAACGATGGTTCCAAGGAGAAACAGAGGTGGTGATGGTGATTTTTCCTATCTTCTCTCACTCCCTGATGAATTGCTGGAAACAATTATGGCCTCTACAAACCCAACTATAAGGGAAATTGCCCGCCTGCATGCTGTTTCTTCTCGTTTCAACCGTATCAGCACAAGCAGGGGTTTCTATCGAGCGATTGATCCCGCCGAAATCGTGCATGAACAAGCGGCAGTTCCACATTACCCAACGATGATGAGGAGATTCTATGACGCGGGTAATCCAGGGGTTATTTTCCAGAGGGGGATGCAAGCCTACTTTTTCTTCCACGATGGTGAATGCGTGGAATTGATAAGGGATGCTGCGGAGAGAGGCTACGACCGAGCCAATTTTGTGTACGGGATGTGGCTCAGAGCTGTGCCGGAAGACTTCGTCCGTGCAGAGGAGTATTTGGGCAGGCTCACGGTGCAAAATCGGAGGAGGATGAGCCGGTTGTTGCTGGCCGACGTTCCACACGGATGGAATTTCGATTTGCCAGTCGATTTCACTGAGAAAGCGGCTGCCTTTCATCCGAGATTCCTGGCGCTGTACACCTGTCAGTGTGGGTTATCAATTACTGGCTACAGTGATTTGCAGAAGATTTTAAGCAGCCAAAGTGCACAACCTGTTTTTGGGCCCAAGAGACCCAAAGGTTCTTCCGCTTCATTAGGAACGTCGTTCCAAGCTGGCCGTTGATGCTCGATTGGTGAAAGCCGTAATCTTAGTATTTTGTTGCATTCGTGTCTCTTTAATTATTTATGTTGTCTTAGTATTCCGAACTACAACGGATCTTTTTCAAATTGCATGTCTACTTTCGTTTTTTAGTTGCAACTCTTACTTTTGTATAAACATAATCTATGGAGAATTATTAGTTGATTCTATGATATTTATGATACTTATGTTCGTAAATGTAGTAAGTAATCATAAAGGTGTTTGAAATTTTTTTAAATATGGAGAATTTAGCCTTTCCCAAAATCAAAATGAAAGTGGCAGGATATCATTTCATCTAGGGCAGTAATTAATTATGTACACCTATTCACTGTAATTATTTATGTACACCTATTACCGTATACCTATAGACATATAGACGTACACCTACTTACGTATACCTCTAGTCGTACACCGACTTACGTATACTTATTACCGTATACCTATAGACGTACACCTACTTACGAATACGGGATCAGAAACAGATTGGAAACATAAAGCTGTTTGAAAATAAATAACATTACACATTTTTAAAGAACGATGAATACCTACACCTATTTTAACGTAAACGTACACCTATATATATTGAAGTATTAACGTAAACGTACACCAACATTGGTATACGGGATCGTAAACGTACACCAACATTGGTATACGGGATCGTATACCTTTTTAGACATAAGGCTGTTAGACATAAGGCTGTATTTAAACTTCATATTTATTTTTGAAATAACCACAACAATGGGAAAATATATTGAAGTATTTAAATTTTAAAAACAAGCAACAAGCAACCATAGCACATCGATACTAAAGCATTTTTGCTATGCGTTGTGCTGAATATCTAAGATAACATCTTTCACATTTAACAATATAATGCAAATTCTCGTGATACACGCCGCACGACCCTTCGGTTTCTTCATGAATGAGACTAGGGTACCTGAACTTTTTCTTGAATGTATGTTTATCACGTGGGCAAAATGACCAGAATGAGATTACTATATCTTCGGCGACTTCACGAAGTTCATGAGAATCATGAGGATAGTGGTACCTGAAAACCATCTTTAGAAGTTTTTTCCCTCTGTTAGGGCGACCCACGCACATTTGCAAAATGGCACAGCTGTAAGTGGCATAGACGTCTGATGGAACGAGCTTATTTAGTATCCTGATGGCGGTATAGATCTTCTCCTCTGTTGACATGAATCTTATAGTTTCGACCAATATGGCCCGTGGATTTCTCGACGCTAAGCAGCGCAAGAATAAAGGCCGATATACTCAACCAGGGTATATCCGAGATGGTGTGTCATGCAATGTCCATAGGTATGCCGATCTGAGTACTTCCGTGCTAAATGCAATGTCTCTACCACGGGTCCCTGCCAGATTAATCGGTCCAAGGTAGATGCAGTCAGACTCAGCAACTTTCTTGACAATGATTTTGAAAACATGATCTGGTAAATCTGGTAAATCTGGCATTTTTTGGGAAGGTTATAGGGTTTGTGTAGGGTGAACTTTCTTCGCAATATTATGAAACTATATATTGAATTCGATGGGTAGTTCTTGTTGAGAAATAGTTAATGGTAAGACAATTAGTAGTTGCAGGGTTTAGTGTGTAGTTGAACAGAAGTAATATTACAATAAGTTTGTGAAGTGATGTTTACCAACTACAGAAATTAAACTACTAGTTACATTGTTACAACTAGTTACGTTCTTAGTAGCTACTTGTTACAATAAGTTTGTGAAGTGATGTTCACTTACTTTTTACCTTTAATTTATTACAAAAATTAAACAAGTACTTGCAATTAAAATAACTAAACTAAAGTAAATATCTTATGCGCAGAGCCGTGCATTGTAGAAGGCAATACTCGCAGTCTGGTGTATTTGTGCCATCGTAATGCTCATCTACACACTCCGATATAGGTTCTTCTTGTAGGGTGATGGGGAAGGACCAAAGGCTAGCCCACAGATCTTGAAACGGCCCCAGAGCAAACTCCCATACGTGACGTATAACGTCGTGCGCTAACAGCTTCATTTCATTAGCCGCATAAGGGACGTGTAGAGTGAATACATACGTGAGGAGTTTTTTTAGCCCTTCGTGGACGTCCGACGCAAATTTCAAACATGGCACATGCGAAAGTAGGATGTTTATCACATGGGACAAGTCGGTTAAGCATTGTAATCGCTGAATACAATCTTCGCTCACTCACGGCAACTCTAATGGCTTCAAAATAAATATCTCGTGGATTATAGGCGCCAAGACAACGCTCAAAGAATGGGTGGTAAGGGTTGTTAGGGGATACGTCGATCGGTGACTCAACCAATCGAGAGATGTCTGCAGACCGTAACACGTCGTCGGTGAACGCGATGGCTCTTCCACGTTTTCCTGCGCGAATAAAGGGGCCAAGATGATAGGAATCATCCTCAGCTAGTTTCTTTACTATTAACCCTAAAACATCATCGTCTAAGTAGTGCATTGTTGTTTAACGTTGGTGAAAAATAAATTTGATTCGCTTTATTTGTAGACAAGGTGGATAGATATATAAATGTCCTAATTCGTGGTTGGTATAAAGATAAGAGCCACTTCAATAACTGCTAAACTGACCCCAACACGTCGCACTACATTATAAATGTAACTAGTTTCGGGCACTTTAATAAAAGTGAACTGACCATTATTCTTAAAAATGGGGGGGGGGGGGGGGGGGGAAAAAGGGTAGGTGAAATATTTACTAAAAGAGAGAACACTATTATATTATTTTCAACCGTATAATAAATTCTCCACCCCCCCCCCCAACCACACACCAGTGAAGACCATATATGATGATTTTGCTTTGTCTTAACAAAACTTGCCTCCTTTCCAACGAAAACAAACCCTAAACCAAACATAACAAACCCTAAACCGAACATGTCGCTCCCAGACTTGTCTGATGAAATTCTTATCGAAATCCTCAAGAGGCTCGGCAGTGAAGCATTTTGGCGACTCGGACCATTTGTCCGCGCTGGAAAGCGCACCCTCCGGCTTGTTTTCACCGACGATGTCCTCAAATCTTCCAACATTTATGCCCTTTGCTGTGTCCCCAGCGACATATGCCCTGGAAAGGAAAGACGCCCATTCTTTCTGAAATGTTTGGCGAGTGGAAACCCTGAGGCAAGATACTGGGAAGCCCTGAGACTTGCAACCAGAGGTGCTGATCTCATTGCAAGTAGGACCATGCTGGAACCAAATGTTCCCACCGACGCTCTCTCGACCCTGGCGTCGGCCATGTTCAGCGTTTGCTTGGGTGACCCTTGTTCCGCAAGCCAAACATTGCAACTGTTGGCAACGCATCACGGAAGTCTACAGTCAGAGCGCGTGCGACAATTAGGTGAGGAGTTAATTCTTGAGATTTCATATTATGGAACTGCATACATGGATACATACTCAAACTCATTTTCATATCCAAACGACGACGTCATCAAGCTGCCTGATTGTGAATTTGATCATTTCGAACCTGAGATCCGAGTACTTTGCAATGGTTGCTTCATATATTGGTGTGCTAGGTGTATCTGCGAAATGCTTTAAAAATAAGTTTATGGTGTACACCTTCTCAAGTGTACATGAGTATGTGTAGACTATATGAAGTGTACACATATATTTCATTTTTAGTATGTAATGAACAATCTTTGAATTAATATTCGATGACTTATGTTTCATGAAATCCTTGGACAATTTATGCTTGGACAATTTATCAAATCCTAAACATAAAAAGCATAAATTGATATAAAAAATTTAATATAAAGTCATAAACTTCTCAAGAAAAACACGCTAACAAAATAGTGGTCTTATTTTTTGCAAAAGAAATAATACAATTCAACAAACAAAATTAATAGAACAATTCAGGAGTTCATGCTCCTCTGGCGTGCTCCACTGTCCATGCAAGTGCAGTGGTTTCAAAAGCAGCCCTGTCTTCCACGTAAATCCTAGCAATTTCTTCAACAAAAAAATGTCCTTAACCTATTTGGGGGGCAGTTAACATTTGGTGTATTTCCGTCAGTACCTGATTACATATACATGAAAACACAGTTAAGCCCTGATTTAATCGAAATTAAGATTATTAAGCAAAACACAATAACGATTTATTTCTTTCATAAGTAAAAATACATCATTGATGCTGTTGTTGGTCCTGAAGTGAGTTGGGTTCAACATCTTCAGAAAAATGTTCCCATAAGTATTAACGTGTGGGTGATACACTTTTGTTTTGAACATCACCTGAAAAAAATCAGTGTTATTAGTAATTGAAATCTTTATTTACTAAATCCAAAACCCTAAAAATACAGCAATTTGAGAGAGCAATGATATGCTTCATTCCTTACCCTAGGTGGCGCGAAAGGGTAGTCAAGCGGAAAGTGAATGTCTAGTTTGAAAACACCATTCTCATAGGGTGAACCTTTAGGGCCCGTTATGATAGCTTCCCAGTGATACAAGTCCTCACCCACAGGTCCTAATGAAATCGGCAAAACACTAATTAGGTAGACGATGTAAAAGACCGATCCTCAAAAACTAAAACTAAACTAAACCCCTATTTTCAAAAGAACCATCAAATACCTGTACTGAAACATGGACTGTTTTTCCTCTCCACTTCCTTCAATTGCAATGAGATCACTTTGGCAGAGTACATTTTTAGAAAGTAACTATTAAATTTCTGTGTAATTAACTTCTGTTGTAATTAACTTTTTCTGTCTCCGGAAACTTGTTTCACTGAAGAAGGCAGGGGACAGTTTTTATAGAGGCTGACAGGAAAAACATTTAAAAGTAAAGAGAGAAAAACGAGTCGGTCAAACGGTCTAAAAAGGTACTTAATTAGTTTTTGTCGTTTCCAATTTGATTTTTTTGGGTCGCGTTTATTCCTTATACACTGTTTTCATTATTGCGGTTTTCAAAAACGTAATGACTTGATTTTTGAAAAAACCGTTTATTCGTGCTGTCCTGTCCTACAATTTCACTTCAAAGACACGATCATTGTCCGTTTTCTAGATAATGTTTTCTTTCTCTGCTATAGAACCATGTCTTTGATAATTATTTTGATCCAGAACCATGTCTTTGATAATTATTTTGATTCCCTTAAATAAGATAAACCCTAAACCCTACATCGTAAACCCTAAACATAACCCATAATGTGCATACACCTAAATTTATATGCGTACACCATATAAATGTAAACTTATAAGCCATAATGCGCATACACCATATAATGTAAACTGGTTCATGTTGTCCACCATCACAGTGTACACAAACTGTGTCCACCGTCACAGGTGTACACTAACTGTGTACACCCTGTCCAGTAAACATCATAAATTTCATAACAAATATAACATAGTTCACGCCTTTCCAAGTTTAAATATAGGGAAACATAGTGTACGCTATAAACAAACCCGAAAAAGAAAGCGAGATCCCCACAAAAAAAAAAGCAACAAGAGACACACAAAAAACAATGTGGCTCGCTCTTTCCTACACGCTCGCTCTTTCCTACACACAACAAAAGACACACAAAAGCCACACCCGGTCAACCCAATGGTTCCTTGCCCGGTTATGGCCGGGATTTCCACATCTCGAGCATTTGTTTGGCTTCTTTTCTTTCGCAACCTGCAACAGCGTATATCAGTAATCAGTAATCAGTATGACTGGGGAAAAAATAATTGTTTAGTGTACACTAACCTGAGGATACTCTCCTGCTGAAAGTTTTCTCTTCGTCGTAGGCCTTCCTGATGGACGTTTTGACTTAAGTGGCATAATATTAAGGTCACGCACCTCTGCTGGGATACGAATGTCGTCAGGGTCGGGCACTGGTAGGATTTTGCCACAAACTGTTGCACTCCAAATTGATTTCTTAAGAATTGGAACAACCAAACTGCTGTACTCCACTTGCCGAAGCCTAGCCGCGGCCATTGCATGTCGGCAACGGTATTTCAATGTCTGAAACTCTAGACATGAGCATGTTTTGTTTAGGAGATCAACAAGCCGCCGTACACCGAACTCAGACTCACTTCAACCTCCCACAAAGAAATGCCTTGAACCGATAGTGCAGCAGATTTTTGCTGCTGAAGGTTCATTAACTTGTCAACTTCTTCTGGAATGTCACCATCCATCTTTTGAATTTTCTCTCTTCTGCATTCAAGCCACCTACTTAACATTCGCCTGATAAATACTAGAATTGCAACGATTGGACTGTCTCTTGCAGCGAATAGTGCATTGTTCAGAGACTCTGCAATGTTACTGGAGGTCATATTATACCTCTGACCAGAAAAGTGTGATCTAGTCCACAGCGCAAGAGGGATTTTTTCCATGTACTCCCAACAACGATAATCAACATCCTTCAGCCTTGCGTATAGTTTCTTGAAATTAGAAACTGTGAACGCTTCTCCAGCCTTTCCAACCAACCCTTTCTGACCGGAACCTTTGTATTTACCGTGAACATTTCTCTGGATATGGACAAGACATGCCGTGGTGTGACTGTGGATACCATTTCTTTTTAGCTTTGGTAATTCCACCATGCCTATCCGAGATAATAGTAAGATCAGAGGAATCTGGAATAATGTCTACCAACTTCTCAAAGAACCACCTCCATGTCTGGTCAGACTCTGCATCGACAACGGCGAACGCTATTGGAAAAACCTGGTAATTAGAATCTTGTCCGCTGGCCATTAATAGACAACCCTTATACTTACCAGTCAGGTGAGTCCCATCAACAACAACTACTTGTTTCAAATGTTTCCATCCAGATATACATGCAGCCAATGCCATAAATACGGACTTAAACCTGGTAATACATTTTCCATCTTTTTCATCTCTCTCGGTTGACAAATGCGTTATGGTGCCGGGGTTAGCATAATTGAGCACATGGAGGTAAATCGGTAATAATTTGAAAGAAGTCTCCTCTGTTCCGTGAGCAGAGTATATAGCCAGCTCCTTAGCTTTGCAGCATTTCCAGTACGAGGCTGTAATATTATATTCGGAGATAACAATCGCAGGTAGCTGACTCGCACGTGGACCAACTATTGCATTCTCATACTTAGACTTCAGCAGAGCCGCCATGACTTTAGAAGTAGCATGCTTAGAAAATTTCTTTCTTGTATCCGGGTGGCATGTATGCTTCAAGCACGCCTTCCTCACCTCATACAACGCAGACTCGCCAACTTGACACCCCAACACCCTCCAATCACATATCTTTGATGGACATTCGGCGACTGTGTACTTCTTCGCATGCTTTTTGAATTCGAACGTCACTACATTCTTCAGCGCATTGATGGCCAACGTGATTTTAAAGTGTTCCTTGTTCCTGAAATTTTTCCCAACCCATATCTCTCCATCTTCATTTGACAAATCAAGTTCATTGAAATCCCCTCCCATTTCATCAGAGATTGGTGCCACATCCGGATATTCATATAGTTCTGTACGTTTAATCGCTTTCTTCAGCTCTGCACCACCATTCTGACGCCCCCAACCGACATCACCTGTCGGAGTCTGCACAAAATCATCATCATCTCCATGGGGAGCCAGAACCTTCTCACATACAGTCCTCTTTCTTCCAGGAAAATGAATAGGACTCTCCGTTAAGACAATGGAGTAGTCCATATTGGTTGAATCACTCGGCTCACTTCCGCGAGTACTTCCACAACCCCCTGAACTACCAGAGTCATCCTTATCCTCATCAAATCCAGGTTTAGAATGGAAACCCTTACCATCTGCTAGTACGTAATCATTCCACCAGTCAAAATCATAATCCGGATCATAATCATCATCAGAGCCGTATGCGTCATCGTCAACATCATCAGCTTCCTTCTCTTCCGAATCTCTTGCTTCGTCTGATTCCTGGGATATTTTTAATTCCAACTCAGGGTGGTCAACAGAGTCAGCGTGACTTGGAACATCAGGTTTTACATTAACGGAGGTGTTAGTGCTGGCCTTAGCCTCTACTTTCTCTGATTCCTGGGACATTTTTAATCCCAATGGAGGATGGATTACAGAGACAGCTTCAGGTTGTACACTTTTGGAGGTGTTCATTGCGGCCTCTGCCTCTACTTTCTCTGCATGTGCTATCAGCAAACAATCATCGATATCTTCATCACCTGCTTCATCATCGGGTTGACTAGACTCTGCCGAAGAAGAGGCTATGAAGTTTGTTGGCCCTAAGGACTTTCGCCGTTCCCTAGCAATTTGAACTTCAAGACTTTCCTTCCGGTTCAATCTCACCATTTTACCATTTACTGACTCCTTGAATGTGACAAATAAATTCACAGACTTGTCAGACTTATGCAGCGAAAGGAAGAATTTGTACTCTCGAGGAGTAACTATCACACATGGACAACTCCCATCACCATTAAGCTCAGCTAGAACATCATCAAACCAGTAAAAAATCTCCACCGAAACAACTCTCGGGTCTAATCCGAACTCATGCGCAAACAGATTTCTCAAATCATCTGGTCCGGACACATCTTTGCAATTTATGCACCTTCCACGACGAGATATGTTCATTTTGAAATCCCATTCTCCTGTATAGTACCTTATCCACGTTCCCGCCATAACAAGAATGAACGCATCCACTGCAAATCGCGAACACCATATCTAAAAAACTACTGGCAAATAGCGAACACCAGAACAAAAAAATTCGAAAATAACAATGACAAATCTATGGGTGTACAATAATAGGATTAAGTAACTAACCGTGGTTGTTGTCCTCTTGATCATTGCATAGTTTCCCCTTCAATTTCAACATCTTCTGGAAAGGGAAACTAGGGTTTCTAATTTGGTTAGGGTACTTTGTTTCTTATTTTAACCAATTTATCTCCATTATCTCTAATTAACCACAGTTTTTCCTGCCAAAATTAAAAAGAGAATGGGAAGGGTAGTTTTGCGTTTAATGAGTTAGGTAGTTTCCGGCCCATAACTGAGGCCTAGTAAGGTGGTTTTTTGGAATTTCATTCCGAAATTCGAAATCAGGCCCAAAAAATGACCCAATCACGCGTGTGAGTGCTCTCTTCCTGGCTGTTACGCGCGCGGACGTAGACTACGCCTAGGACCCACGGTATTTTCTGCGCATGTCTCTCTCTAAGGAACAGACTTCTCTGTCTCTCTCTCTCTCTCAGAAAGAAGGGTAAGTTTGGCATTATGAAAGTATGTCCCTACCCTGACTAATTAAAACATAAAACTACCCTTTTCTCATATAAAAACTTAAAAACGTCCTTATTTTCAAAACAACCCTATAAAAAATGCAGATTTGTGTTTTAAAATTAAAATCATGTTAGACGTAAAATAAAATTAGTATTTTTGGTACTGTTTAGGAGATTTTGGTCCTCGACTATGGGCAAGTCTTCTGCAAAACAGAAAAGTCGTCAAAGCCCGGAAAATACAATGGGGATGTGTTTTCCGAAGGCACTCCGATGCTCAAGTAAGAAAACAGCTCGCAAAAAGACCACAATATAGCTGATCGGAGAGCAGAAAAAAGTCGAAAAACTTTGTGAAGGAAAATGGACCGAGAGTCCTTGAGATAGGTATGATCTGCTTAGGCCTTTGGATGAGAATGAGTTTTTTACGGTGAAAAGAGAGAATAGAAAAGTTGAGAGTGAATGAGCTCCACGGTTTAGGAACCGCCGTAGAGGAGAAACTAAGTGAGATGACCGG